GTATATCTTGATTATATTTAACATTTTAAATGTATAAAATTATATAATTATTATTCTAGCATATGATTTTGAACAATTCTATTCAAATTATTACTTATATAAAAGTATTACATAAAAAGAAAGAAAGAAAATTATGACAATTATATTTTTTTCTTAAATTTTGTGTTATTATAATTGTAACTTAAGCTTAAAAAAATTATAAAATATATAAATTCACTAGTTCTTTTAAGTTTTATTTTATATGTCATGCAAAAAACTATTTTTCCAAAGCAAATTTGTATCAAAATCTTAAGATTATTTGTATTAATCAAAATGGATGAGATATCCGTAAATATTCGTAAATATCCGCAAATATCTATTTATTTTCCGGATATCCGTTTTTCCGGATATCCGTATTTTTTCGAAGCAAAGCAAATACCAAAATTAGATATTCGTAACATTCGAAGCAAATCACAAATACCTTAAAAAACCCGGATATCCGATCCGTGCCCACCCCTAATGGTTGAAACTTGAGAACCTTGACAACAATGTGAATTTAATACAACATACTTCTTCAAACTTTCGTTGACAAAAGGAATGACTAAGTGTTAGCTGAAGAAAACGATAAGAACCTCAAAAGCTGATTAGGTTAACGGAAAAGAAACGCCTGATCATCAAAAATTGATTTGAGAATTATATCCTTAATTGGTGTTATCTTTTCAGTATCGGATGAAATAGAAACGTATCGGATGAGATTATAAATGCAATAACGTAAATGAAATATAAACCCATTGATGAAGCAAACATAGTATAATGAATTTGCCATGCATCATCATCAATTCATAAAATATAAATCTATTGATGAGATAATTATTTAGGAAGAAAAGTTATCTACATATTGCCTAGTATTGGTCTTTAAATTACCACTCGTGTATACCTTATTATATAACTTATATTCATTAAATTTTTACATTAATCTGAAAGGGAAGAAGCAACTAAATAGAGTCTTAAAGCATTGATATAAAGTTTCCCACCTTACCACATTTATTTTGGGACATTGAACAAAGTGAAACTTCACATACACAGTCTCTGCATTCGTTTGCTCCATATAGCTATCTCAAATTTAATTATCATATGGACCGATTCATTACTATAGTATTTATTATCCTAACAAATTAATTCAAATATATGTTACAACAAATTTTTATAATCAATACACGCAGAGAGTACGAACACGTGTTATTAAAGTTGTCCAATCTGGTAAGCCAAAACATTATAAGGTAATACACAAAGTTTTTTTATTTCTGACCATATATTTTATTAATTAACTTTACAATGATGGTAATTCCCATTCATTAAAGATTTACAGTTTTTTTGTTTTACTTTTATTCCTCTTGAACCAAGTGAGTTCCAAAGAACCTCTGCTTCAAAACATAACAGATGTAGAGACAAACCACTACTGACCAGAACAAGTTCCGGACTGATGAAGCTCCTTGGTTCTGTTGTTGTCTGTACGCAGTCTTCATCTTCTCTAGCCTTCGTGTCTCTTCAGAAGTTTCTAAAACTTTCTTTATCCTATCTGATGCTTCAGATGCAAGCAACCTCTCACTCACCTCTCCTTCTCCGGACTTGACCTCATTTTGCTCTTGGCCATAGTTACTCTTTGGTTTCATTTCTTTGACTTCCTTCTGCTTACTTCCTCCTCCAAGAGATGCTGGTTTCTTGGGAAGCAGGTTACGGAGTGAAGCCAATCTCAATGGCAAGGCTTTATCTTCAGGGATAGTCACTTTCTTGGTCTACAAGAAATCACACTGATGTCAAAGGTTGGTTTTGTAGATCTTCAGATAGTAATGAAAAAAAAAAAACTCACCAATGGTTTGAAATGGAGATTGTAAAGCATGTCAATGTATCTCTGCTTAGCTTTCTTTTGATCTTCATTCACTTGTCTCCAGAATCCATACATGCTTCCCATTTTCAGTAACTTCTCTGCATAGATCTTCCATGTGTAGCTACAAAGACGATATAAAACCTAAAAATAAGTAAATGTGTTGTGACAAGATTTGCGTTAAGTAAAAGTCTACTTACCACTCATAGATACGTTTGAGACCAGCCTTAGAGATACTATCCCAATACAAACCATCTGTACTACACTTGCTGAAGAAGTCTCCAATTCTAGAAACGGATTCATCACCATTATTGGGATCAATGTGGAAACCAGAGACACCATCAACAATTATCTCAGCTGGTCCACCTTGATTCGTTGCAAAAGTTGGTAGTCCACAGTTCATAGCTTCAATAACCGTTAAACCAAAAGCTTCATACAAAGCAGGTTGAACAAAGACTCCTTTTGTATCAGCAATGCACCTGTAAAGCTCACTGTTCCTGTATCTATCAGTTTGAGCAGCTATCCATCTGAACTTCCCCTTGAGCTTATACTTTTCAATGAGATCATGCATCTTCTTGATCTCAGCTTTCTCTTCCCTGTCATTAGATTTCGACATGTCGAAGAATCCAGCAACTACTACAAGGTTAGCCATCTCTCTTAGTCTCTTGTCTTTGCCATACCATTCAACCAAACCAGTTATGTTCTTCACTGTGTCAAGTCTAGCCATTGAGAAGATGATTGGTTTCTCTCTTTCCGCAAGATATCCCCTGTTTCCACAAACAATTTAGGTTAAACTCAAAAACCATATAGTGTAGTGTTTCATTATTTGTAATGAGACTAGTACTTACATGTGTTCAGCATTGTCTTTCTCATTGTAGAGTAGTTCTTGTATAGAAGGATGAAACTTGGTTAATCTTTTTTGCTTCTCTGTGTAAGGG